GTAATGTAAATGTAACTATTTAAGTACCATTTGTATTATTTAATTTATTTTTCAAGTTACAATAAATATATCCTTCGTTAGGTTCTTTTATTTCAATACTTATACACATAAACGATAATAGCTAATATGTTTGTGTACTCGCTAATTTGAATACTGGTAAACAATCAACTAGTTACAGTTTACGAAAAACGGTTCCGATAAAAATTAAAAAAACGAGAAGACCCACCTCTAGTTTTTTAGGTATATTAGGATCGGAACCAGAGAATATCTGATCGGAACTAATCGTCTCACTAATGGGCAATGGCCAATGAGTGTTAAAAGGATTTTAGGAGGGGAGACGAAGGGGAAATATGATTGTTATCTTTGTCTAATTCGTTGAAAATATGATTTTATATCTGCGTTAGATATCCTGTTAAATTTTACCATACCGACCTTAAAATTTTACCTACACTGTATGTTCAAGTGTTACCAGATTGTCTTGTAGATCTACCCATTTGAAATCACTTGGTCTGATCGATAAGAAGTATTCATTTCAAAACTTATCTTTAATAACTCATAAAAATAATAATGGTTTCTTTCTTTTAAGGCTAAGATTAATGAAATGAAATGGTAAAAAATAAAAACAAATGTATATAATAAGTTTATTTACATTATAAAACGTACAAATTTAAAGTTGTAGATTTGATAATTTTCCATATATGCAATTGTTTCTCACTCTCTTAAAATATTGTAATAAAGTATCAATGTAGCAGCCAGATGCAATTGGGCATCTTTTCTAAAGTCAGGTATAAAATTATCAAACCTGAACAATCTTGTCTTACAGTTAAAATTGTGATTGCTAAAAATTTCATCCTATTGTCTTACCTCTTACTCTAATAAGTATATACTAGAAATAAGATAAAATGAAAAAAATCCACGACGATTATAGACATTTTACAAAAATATAAACGTTCTTGTATTTCATGCTTCACGCTTATTTATCATACATCGATAGAAACAAAGTGTGACAAAAATGAAATAGAACATATCAAGTTACCATAGTACTCAGAATAAATGGTCAAAAGAGTTACGGATATACTTCCTTTTATTAGATTATTTTTATGCATTGTTACACAATATGTTTATGAGTGTATGTTCTTGACAACCCTATTTTACAAGTGTTGCTTCCCTGTTTTCTTCTCCACATATTTCTTTGCCTCAGTCTACTCATAAACTCTTATGATGTCCATTATGATTCTATCTTGCTCTTACAGCTCTTATGATCCTTTTGCCGAAACTCCTTTAAAAGGTCTTGTCTATTTATTACTTTCTTACTCAGAATACAACAGAATGAACAAAAAATACTGAATTATCCCCTAATATCGGTTATATGATATACTCTATCGTGATATGTTCTATAGGCAAAGGAAAACGCTGTTACACAAAGAGCAAATTATGTGGCAAATCTGAACTTTTGTCAGTTGAAGATTATTCTGAGATTTTTTCTAAAAGAGTAATTATTAGGGGTTGTATGACAGTTTCAGGGTATGTATGTTTTGAATTTATTAAAGTACCGTAAATGTTGCGAAATATCAACAAATAGGTACTTGAAAACAGTCTATTACCAAGAATTTTGAAATTAAATGTTATATTTTTCACCAAGACGGGGAAGCCTGTCATACCAATAGACAAAAACTGGTTTGAAAACTACAGCACAAATGTCATTGAAACAGTACGGGATAAAATGAAATATAGGTACTCTAAGGAACAACCCACAACGGACATTACATGAACTTGAAGCCAAAATAGAGCAGATTTAGAATGAATTTATCCCTCAACACTGTAGATTCTTAGTTGAGTCAATGACCAACCGAATTAGAGCAGTCATAAAGTCTAAGGGCGATGCTAGTCAGTTTTAAAAATAAATAGTTTTAACGTCCTTTTCAAATAGCAAGTGTACATGACTTTTTGTGGTTTCAGTATTATAAGCGGACACTATCGAGGCAGTCAAGGTTCTATAAGATGACTATAATTCGCTGTATTAATGTGATGTGAGTCTGCCATGTAGTCTGTTTCTTTTATTAATATTTAGTTTAATTGTTGTAAAGCTAAAGAAACCAAATTTCCCAGCTATTCCTGCGTTTTTCTTAAACATCAAAAATACGAAGAAAAAAGGACAGTAAGAGTTTTTCAATACTGTGCAATCAACTTGTATTTAAGAAATCGTTCATTTTTATTTTCATAACTTGTTCTTTCAACTAAATCATCTTTCCAACAATATCTATTAAGAATTTGAAACGATAAGAATGTTAATTACAAATAACTTAACAAAAATTGTCTAAAACACTGTATTACTGTAGTAGTGGGAATTGGTCTGTTTGCTTAGAATTACAACACGAATTAAATTCCATTAATCTTTTGTATGACATATTTTCTTGTTAATCGTAATAAATAATCGTTTGAGATATATCTTTCGATATCATATTGTATTATTTGTAGTAAAGGTGATGTTAAGTGACAGAACATATAAACATTCACTGTATCATTAATCATACATCAAGTGTTTTTACAGAAAGTAGGATAAAAATTACAGAAAACGTCAATTATGGTGTGGTGCGTGAAATGACGTATTTTCGCATTCGGGGAAGCCCGGTACTCATTTGGTAATCCGCAGGAGCGTACATGCGAGCTGTAAAGGCGAAGTCCCATGTATCCGATTTCCGAGATCCGACATACGAAAATCGTATGGTTTCGCAGTTACTATTTGGACGCTAGTCACATGGATGCGATTGTCGGAAACGAAAATCCGTATAAACTGTTAACTGTCAATTTTTTGTTTATTGTTTGGATGTTTGGTGGTTTGGCTGGTAATTGCTGTTTTACCACTTTTGCGTAGTAAAACAGCAGAAGGGATTATTTACGCATGGTATATAATCTCTTCTCCTGATTTCAATTACTCAGTTTATTATGGAATAACGTACAAAATGTGTAATTACGCATTCTAAGGTAATTGCAAATATTTATCAACATCATTTAGCTTCATTAGCATATTTTTTTACTGAAATATTTAACTAACCCAATATTTTCTTGGTCGAATTGTACGTTTTTGTTTTTTTTTACGAATTAAAAGAAGCAGACATAATAATAGCGTTTTATTAACTTTACGAACATAGCTTCTTCGATTAAAATTCATGTTTCAATAAATTAAATGTACAGATGTTAAACTATTGGAATACAATTAGGTTACAAAACATCCGTTTTGTCGGAAAAAGTTAAAACAATTTTATCTTATCCGATGTCGGAAGCGTAGTTAAAAATTTCGGATGAAATTCGGCGCGAAAATATTCTGATTAGATTCTGACCAATGAGAATACTTTCGGATCATCGTGTCGTCGGAAATCGGATGCATGGGACTCCGCCTTTAGTTATCGTTATGGCTAATTGTATACATTACCTGCTTTATATGCAGACATGGGTTCTTTTAAAACTTGTTCATCGAAACTTCACTATAATTAATGTTTGCTGTATGTCATTAGAAAAGAAAAAATATTTTTTCTTTTTTTATAGAAAAGAAAAATAAACAATCAATTTGCCATACGTTAAATAGCAAATTTTCCAGAAAATATTTTTAAAAAAGTTAAGACTTTGGATAATTGTGATTGAACAATATTAAAACTGTATAGCAGAGGATGAGTATGAATTGTTATTGGTCAATGACTTCAATTAATTAAACCATATATAATGGATCCATAATTAAACCTTGCATATAATTAACTAGTATAAATGGAATACTAACGAACGCAAATCAAGAATCATTTCACCTAACGGTATAATAATTACAATATACTGCAATTCTGCAATATACTGCAAGATAGTAAAAAAATAGGCCATTTTTCGTCGTGTATAGACAGGTTTGACAGTTGAAATGAATTGTGTGAGATATTACAACAAATTTAGAGTTAGCCTATAGTTAGCCCTTGACTCCAGCACAGATCAGACGTAATGTAAGTCGACAAAATTTCACCAGCTCCAGACATGTTAAATGCCTCCAGTTGTAGTTTTTATTAATTACCGAAGTTGATGGTCTATTGCATTTACCTTTGTAAATTCCACGAGGATTTTTTATTACTGATATCCTTCTAGTGTTTTTTTATGTGGCCAAACAATGTGTTTAACAACTTTTTATTAAACAGATGATGAAATGATTTAATTCCGAAAAGATTTCTTTAAATAAAGTTTTAAGCTTTTAATAAGCATTTTTTATATCTTGATACACACGAACACCACGTGCTTTGTTTTCTCTTGGTGAAACCATGAAGTGCATCTCCACTTCATGGTTTTGTTCCAGTTTCATTTTTAATATTAAAAATGGTTTTGTGGAGTACCACAGTACATAATTGTGTAAATGTCATTGTTCTCAGTATTTATTTGTTCTCTAACGCACAGTATTTTAACTCTGTTATCTTACAGTGTTCTCATGTGTGTACATTCGAAAAGGTTTTCCATTTTTCAAAAATGGATAACCTATTCGATTTGGAACAAACTCTTAAATCTTATATAAAGTCAAATAACCAATATTCAATTCAAATTTTAGGCAGAGTTTAAAAAAATCGTGAGGGAAAGGGTGAAAAACACTACGGGCTGAAATTAATCTTTTATAAGAAAGGTCAAAGTTTTTAACAAAACAGGAGTAATGTAACCAAAGAGTACTTTGGGTTCCGACTAGTATAGAATAAAAGGAGTGAGCAGCAGACTCAAGGGCCAGCCGCACTCTCCAAAAAATCTAACACGGTCTCTACTGGACCACGTTTGCTTTTTCTTTTTTTAAACTGGGGTACAACGTTAAAATAATACCATTTATCGCATTTTCAGTGCAAAATTATCCAAAACAAAGCAGCTAATGACTACTGGACGTAAAAATCTTTTCTTATGTAGCTTTTTATTGTTATTTTTGTATTTATTTATTTAAAATATAAGTATTTTCAATAAACAATATTTATAAACTCATATTCTCTCCTATTAAATTTGAACAAATCATTTTTTAGTATTAAAAAAGATATTTTTAAAACAAAAAATCGTATATATAAAATAAGCAATTATAAAAAATAGTTCCACATAGGTAGGTATCTACTACACATTTCAACTGTTAAACCCGTCAATACACCTGTGTCGAGTGAAAAACTAACTTAATTGGTTTACTTTGTAAGTCCACATGACAACAGCCTAAACATGACGTACATCGATTTTTAATTTAAGTTCATTGTATTATTTCTTACAATAAAATTAATATTTTTATACACAGCATAAAAATATATTTTCAAATGGAAAATACAAATAAACAATTAAAACTTAGCTAAAATTAAAAAGCTCTTTCCTAAATATAAATGCAAATGTTTTAGACCTTAAAGTAATGTTTCACATGTTTTATCGTCACTGGTATAAAATATCTTAGTGGTCTTGTAATGGTCCCCAGAAGTATTTGCTTATCCTATCTTCGTCTTCAGTCAAAAAGAAATCTCTACCGTGCTTCACGAATTCTTTTTGGGTAATTTTTCCGTTTCCGTTGGAGTCTATTGCCCTAAAAGCTAGTATGGCGTCTTGTTCTTTGAGGCCCAATACATTGAAAAATAATTTAAATTCTTCTACGGTGATTTCTCCGGATCTGTCTTTATCAACTGCCTAAAAAATCAAAGATAACAATTAAATAATTTACGAATGGTGTAGATTCACTATAGGTACTAATTAACGAGTGACGTCAGGAAATTAAACAATACAGGAGGTGTGTAGGGTAGGAAATTGTACTCGTAAATTTATTTGGGGTTCCTACCCGTCAACATAAGCATAAACGCATAGAAGATTAGGTTATTTAAGTGTGGTTTTAGATCTTAAACAAATTAAAAAAAGTGCTGAGCATCGTGTGTCATCCATTGATAGCGAAGAGATATAGAGTATGGATAAAATATTTTAATTGTTTTATTAGAGGAGAAGGTACAATATGGGCTTGTACTAATATGGGCTATCGCAATTAATAGTTTGACTAGACACTCTTTAGTCTAAAATAATAACTAATAAAACTTACAGTGACCGTTGAAACAATCACATGTCATGTTAGTGTTGACGCTGTTCAAGAAATTTTTCAGGTATGTTTTTATTTCAATTTTTTTTTTTTTTTGTGAAAACTCAGAATCAATTTATTATTTTATCACACATCGTAAGCGAAAGGCTGATATTTTCATATTATTTTCGACTTTTTCTTTTAATTTGTGTTGCATTTTAGATATTAATATTTGAATATATGTTTGGTTATATTGCAAGATGGGCTAGAGTGGTGTTACAAATATGAACTAGCCTATATTTGTATCAGTTTAGTCTACAGGGTTTTTTTTCAGAATGCCTAGAAAAAGTATTGTAAGTCCAAAACAACGAAAATCCTGAGATCCAAATAGCATGAAATCTGCTATTCAAGCTGTGAGAGATAAAACGATGGGTACATTAAAAGCAGCTAAAACTTATAATGTCCCGAGATCGATAGTACAACGGTTAGCAAAATGACTGAACTAGTCCAGATGAAGCAGTACTTACGAAACTGGGAAGAGGAACTATTCTTGGCCCAGATTTAGAAAAATGTTGGGTGGACTATATCCTTCAAATGGAATCGAAATTCTATGGTTTAACGCGGACTGATATCGAACGAATGGCATTTAATCTATCTGAATCAAATGGATATCATCCTTTAGCAGTTAAAAAAAGCTTGGTAGAGGTTGGCTAGATTTGTTCTTCCCGCGTCATAAAAATACATTGGCTCTAAGGAGTCCAACTGGAACATCTTTTGGACGGGCAGCTAGCTTTAACAAAGAGAATGTTCAAATATTTTTTGATCATCTGGAAAAAGCATATGATAAATAAAATTTTTCCAGTAATCAGATTTACAACGTAGATGAAACAGGCCTAACCATTGTGCAAAATAAAATTGCAGCAATAGTGGGGCACAAAGAAAGAGATAAATCGCATCGCTGACTTCAGCTGGAGAGATCATTGATAACTTTAATTTCATGTATGAGTGCTGGAGGGAATTTTATCGCACCCATGTTAATCTTACCAAGAAAGAATATGAATGTGCAATTCGTGAAAGGTACTCCTCCTGGATCGATATCTGCCGTTCATCCTAGTGGTTGGGTGCAGTCTAATTTATTTACACAGTGGTTTAAACACTTCATAGATACCGTTAAACCCTCTAAAGAGTTTCCTGTACTTCTTATATTGGATGTACACTACAGCCATACTCGCAATTTAGATGCGATCAATCTGGCAAGGGAGATAACATAGTTATAATTTCATTACCTCCACATTCAACACACAAACTGCAACCGCTAGACAAACTTTCATGGGAACGCTCAAGGCATACTATAGCGAAGAAATCAGGCAATGGTTACAGCATAACAACCGCGCCCTCTCTCAGGTACGTTATTGAAGAACTTTTTGGCAAAGCAAACCTTAAAAGCCAAACTGGAAAAAATTGCTGTAAACGGACTCCGCGCCACTGGAATTTATCCATTGAATAAGACTGTGTTCTCAGATGCAGATTTTATTGCAGCAGAAATTGAGAGTAACAACCACAGCCATGTAGAACCGCAAGCTATTGAACCTGCTATCCTACCAAAAACACCAGAAGCCAGCAACATCAGTGAACCAGGTCCTTCTGGTTTGCAGAAGTTTGTCAGTCCGCAAGCTATCGAATCGATATCCTACCAAAAACACCAGAAGCCGAGCAACATTAGTCAACCAGGTCCTTCTGGTTTTCAGAAGTTTGTATGTCCGCAATCTATTGAACATGCTATCCTACCAAAAACACCAGAAGCAAGCAACATCAGTGAACCAGGTCCTTCTGGTTTGCAGAAGTTTGTAAGTCCATTTGAAATATCGCCAGTGCCGTCGACCAGGAAAAAAATCTACAAATCGTGGTAGAAAATCATCGAAATCAACGGTAATAACTTCTTCAGTTTACAAGGAAGCATTAGACCAGCAAAAAGAAAATTAAATGTGCAAGCAGTAAACGACACACTACGGCTGAGTCCACAAGGGAGGTGACTAAGAAAAAAATTAAAAAAAAGTCAGAGAGGCGGCATACAAAGGAAATCGAAAGTTCTTCTGACCACGATAGTGAGCAGGTATTTCAACCAGCTGATGAAGATATGGACCTGGAAGAGATTCCTGGTGTAACGGATGTCAATTGTATTTTCTGTGACGGAAAATTTTGTGAAGATTATCGAGGTGAAAAATGGATTCAGTGTCTTATGTGCAACTTGTGGGCACATATAGATTGTTCTGGTGCAGAAAGAGACGAATATGTGTGTGAATATTGTACATAAAAAATTATAAAATAAAAATAAAAATATTTTTACTTATATAGTAGCCCATATTTATATCACCTTTCTGTTTTCTTACTTAAATGACACCGTGAGTGTTTTTATGACATTACAGAAAAAAAAATATCTTACTAGGCAGAAAAACGGACATATCTACAAAAGAGCAAAACAACATTCTACATGCCAATTAAGTAATTTGAACTTTTTCGATCAAAAAATAGTCACGATATCAGCAATAAACAAAATGGTAACCCATATTTCCGTACCTCGGAGGTAAAGGACACTATGTCCATTTTCTTACTTTTTATAGGAGAGCAGTTTTAAACATGTTTTAAATTTGTAATCAGTAAATACTTAAATGTTTCTGATATTTCACCAAAATTAATATAATATATAATGGAAATGGATTTATATCAATAAAAAACAATGGAAAGGAAGAATTGAAGAGGCTTATGTTCAGATGTGGGACGTGAATGGCTAGACGAAGAAGAAGAATATAATATATTTAATTTTGGTTAAATATCAGAAACATTTGAGTATTTACTGATTACAAATTTTAAAAATGTTAAAACTGCTCTGCCTTAAAAAGTAAGAAAATTGGACATAGTGTCCTTTACCTCCGAGGTACGGATTTGTACCTTCTGCTCTACTTCTTTTTAGGTCTTCTGTTGTTGTGTCTTTATAAAAATTTGTATTCTTTGTAACTCTTTTGCTCGCATTGATTTTTTAAGCTTCTTAACGTTTAACATGTTCTGCTGTAATTTCTAGTTGTTTTCTTGTTATGTTCTATTGAAATAAATAATAAGCATGCGTGAGGTCGATGAAGATATAATTTAAATTTAACAATTTCTTATGAGCTTTGGATTATTTTTGATATAAGAATTTGGTTTATGGTCGATCTACCTACCATTCTTGACTGCTCGATATTTCTCGACATATTTGTTTTGAAAGTATAGCGAATGTTTCTCACAAATTTCGTGAGTACTTTATAGTAAGAGCAAATAATAAAGAGCCTCTTTATTTTCTATGTTGAATTTCTCGTGTTTTGTATATAAGACTGGGACTATTATTCTGGCGTTTTATCCTGTTCCCAGATACTTTCCAGTAGACTTGTTATGTATTTCTAAAATTTATAGGTACTTTACCACACAACGTCTATTTATTAGATTTAGGCTTTTAGTTTGTATATAATTTTTAGCCATTTCCACACAATGACATTTTAATATAAATGTTTATAATCAATTTCATATTAAATGAATTATTTATTTTTTATTTAATTATATTTGGAGATGACAATTTTTTCTACAAATGTCATGTGTATTTATTGCCTACTCTAATCAGATTTTTTCTCGATAGTTCAGTATTTACCTTAAATAAGTAAGGCAAAAAGGAATGTGCCTTCCTGACCAGTCTTTTATCGTTGAGCACGTGGTGCATATTTTCTAAATATCTTTCCACTGAGACTAGGTTATAGGGGGATATTTCTCCAAACTGTTTTTCCCAAAGGTTCTAAAAAATAAAAATAATAACAGATGTACATACATTAAAGGTGAAGGAAATGAAAGTTTTAACCTTAGCTGAACATGAAATTTAGAAAACGATATGTGGCTATTAAATAATGAGAGTAACGTTGGTCTATATTGAATACGCATGCGCCACCGACCTACACTGTTTAGCGTGAAGGATTGGCAAAATTGAATACATTTCTGTGACATATTTGTCTGATTTTTGTTTTGTTTTCAAATCAGAAGACTTTTACACCGTTTCTCCCAGAGTTTTTCCTCACTAATTCTTCCGTACTATTGGTAGAGTATAAAATCGCGCTGAAACTAACTCAATTACTATCTCTGTCGATGAAAACACTACTCTCAACTATCATGATCATCATCACTGGCTCGAGAACCCTTTTTGGGTCTTGGCCTCTTCCAGATTCTTCTCCATTCTGATCTGTTTCGTGCTTTTTTCCTCCAGTTTTTTTTTATTTTTAAGGTTGTTATATCATTTTCTATTTGATCTAAGTATCTCAGCTTCGGTCTTCCTCTTGTTCTTTTTCCTACTGGCATCTGTTTGAATATTTTATTTGGTATTTCGCCTTCTTCCATTCTTTCTACATGTCCTATCCAACGCAGCCGTCCTATTTTAATGAATGTTAATATCCGGATCCTGGTATATTTTGTATAGTTCAAAGTTGTATCTTCTTCGCCAAATTCCGTTTTCTTTTGTGCCCTTATATATGTGTCGCAAGATTTTTCTTTCGAAGGTGGCTAACAACGTTTCCTCTCTTCTAGTGAATGTCCAGGTTTCTGAGCCGTATGTGAGTACTAATCTTATTAAGGTTTTGTATATTTGGCATTTTGTTTTTCTTTCCACGTTATCCGATCTTAGTTGCCTAATTAAGCCATGGTAACATTTATTGGCAATAAATATTCGCCTCTTTACTTCCTCCGCAACGTTATTATCAGACGTGACTAGGGATCCCAAGTATATAAAGTTTTTTACCCCCTCAATGTTGTATTCTCGTATTGTTATATTTTGTGGCTGTCTTATTTCTGCGTTTTTACTTACCTGCAGATATTTTGTTTTGGTCTGATTGATTTTAAGATCACTATTTTGTGCAGCTCGTTCTATTTGGTTGTATGCTTCTATCATTTTTCTTCTTGATCTTACGAAGTACGATGTTGAACAAGATGCATGATAGAGCGTCTCCCTGGCGTAGTCCCTTTTTCACATCTATTGTTTCCGTTAATTCATTTTGTATCCGGATTTTACTTTCTACTTTTAGAGATTCTTTTATCAGTTCTATTAGTTGTGTTGGTATATTAAATTCTTTCATTGCTTTTATTAAGAATTCTCGGTTTATATTGTCATATGCGCTTTCAAAGTCTATGAAGAGATGATGTGTGTCGATGTTATATTCACTTGTTTTTTCGAGGATCTGTCGCAGAACAAATATCTGGTCTATTGTTGACTTCTGTCTACAGAAGCCACTTTGGTATTTGCCAACTATTTTTTCATCGTGTTGTCTAAGTCTTTCATAGATGACGTTGGACATTATTTTGTATGCTACATTCAGCAGCGTGATTCCACGCTAGTTTCCACATTCTAACTGATTTCCTTTTTTATGTAATGGTACAATAATACCACTATTCCACTCCGCTGGTAGATGTTTATTAGACCATATCTTTGTTATCAATTCATGTATTGTTTTTTGTAGTGCGTCTCCTCCTTCCTTTAGTAACTCCGATGCTATTTGATCCGATCCCGGTGCTTTATTGTTCTTTAATTTGTCTACTACTGTTCTAATCTCGGCTATTGTTGGTGGAGCCTTTTCTCTGTTGTCTGCTTGGTCTAATGGTATGTCAGGGTTCGTCTCTCTCCGATCTCCTTCAAGCTTTTCCGTAAAATGTTCTGTCCATCTACTTAGTATCTCTTGCTGTTCTGTCAATATATTACCTTCCTTATCTCTACACATCGGTGTTCTCGGTTTGAAGTCTTTTCTGCTTTTGTTCAGTTTCTGATAAAATTTTCTTGTCTCTGTTGATTTACTTAGTTCTTGTAGTTCTTGAAGTTCTTTGTTCATATATTCTCTCTTTTTTATTCGGTGAGTTTTCTTTTCTTCTTTGCGTAGTTGTTTATATTGTTCCTCTGCTTGTTGAGTTCTGTGCCCCTGTTGCATCAGTAAATATGCTCTGTTTTTTCTGTCTGTTATAATCTGATATTCTTCGTCAAACCAGTCATTCGTTCTTGTTCTTCTTTCTCTACCTTCTATGCCTAATACTTCTTTAGCTGCCTCTTTTATCTGAACTCTGAACTATAGCTTCGAAAGAAATACACCCTGTCCGAATAGCAACCATTACAAATGTTTTAATAAACGTCAGTCGAGTATATTCCCATTAATTACAACTATAATCAGTGCAGGCCTCAAACTGATATTTTCTATCTCCATGGAAAATTACAAATATAATCAGTATACTCCAAAAAGGTAAACCGCGGACTGACCCTGAATCCTACAGATCCATATCACTGCTAAACAATCTGGGCAAGGTCTATGAAAAACTCCCAAAGGAAAAACTCTTTTCTAGGAGTTCCTAGATGTCCACAAAATCATCCCAGAATTCTAATTTGCGTTCAAGCCTACTTACACTGCCCAAAATGCATTCTATGAAGTCATCACTCAGAGTATTCACTCCATTAATATAATGGGCAATACCTTGATATCCAAAAGACGTTTGAGTAGATCTGGCACACGGACCTGATTAAAAAGCGGCATCAAATTGGACTGCCGATGCCCTACGTAAAATTAATGTACTCCTTAACGGTAGAGCCATAGAAATTCAAATTGCAGAATACCTCAGTGCCCATTCGTCTCAAAAGCCGGTGTACGACAAAATTGTATCCTGGCCACAATTCTCTCCCCAGTATACGAGGTGTGTTCAAAAAATATCCGGAATTTTTAAATTTCGCAGGATTGGAGAGTCCAATCGTCATTTTTTTTATTGTTGGTATACATGCTTCTAAAGTAGAAGGTATACATGCTTCGCCGTTAAGGTTCGTCTGTTTTTATGAAGTCGGCGATTTTCGGCGATTATTTAAAAAATGGATCAAAGAATTTGTATTAAATTTTGCGTAAAAAATGTAACAAAGTGTATGAAATGTTAACAAAGCCTATGGTAAACATGCTATGAAAAAACATGTGTTTACGAGTAGTATAAGTGTTTCCAAAATGGCCGTGAACACGTTGAAAAGACACGCCTCGACGCCCCAGCACATCAAGAACTGATGAAAACGTGAAAAAATTGACAGAAATGGTTATGAACGATCGCCGAATCACAATTAGAGAAGTCGCTGATAACTTTGGCATATCAATTGGCTTATGCCATGACATTTTTTCAAACGTTTTGGGTATGAAACGTGTCTCGTCAGCAAAATTTGGTCCAAAATTGTTGAATTATAAACAAATACAGCGGCGAATATAAGTTGCTCTATATAAGGAGCCACTAAATGACGTAAACGACAATCCAGATTTACTCAAAAGGGTTATAACAGGTGACAAACATGGGTTTATGGAAATTACGTCAAAACTACGGTTCAATTGTCACAGTGGAGGCATTCTGGTTCGCCAAGACCAAAAAAAGCTCAACTTTGATTGTAATGATATAGTGCACCATGACTTCATACTTGGTAATACATTTAACAAGGACTCTCAATTTAGATATTGAGATAAGATAAGAACACGAGCTAAGCTTCTGAGATCGCTAAGCGATAAATTCAGAGTCACAAACAAAGAAACCCTCCTTCGTGCTCCTCTTTCCATCGAATGTGCTCCCATCTACTTGCTGCTTGAGCGAAGACAGGAAAACAGGATTCTGGTCAAGTAGACGAAAATTCTCTACAGACTGCAAGAAAGTGAATTTCTATCCTACAAAATAGTTTAAGAACAATAAATAAGACATCTCTAAACCACTAATCGACTCAACTTATATGAAAGTAATATTGAAAACCTTACCTTAAGAACATCCTGGAATTTTTTCACTTGTTCTGCACGTAAATGACCTAGATTAATAAACCGATCACTGAGTAGTTTAAAGTCGTCAAACGAAATAACGCCATCCTTATTTAAATCCAGGATTCCATGGAAGGTTCTGATTTTTCTTCTCCAAAAATCTGATTCACCCTAAAAATAAACAATAAATTATTATTTTATTTCATCACTTTAGTCACACAATAAAGTGTAAACTTTTATATTTTGATTTAGCTAGAAAGTCACCAACTGATATGCGATGCGGCAGCTGAGTGGGGAGAGAGTACGAGCTTGAGTGAACTAGTTAAAATTTAAATAATATTGAGAGTTACAATTGTTGATTAAGTATTGCCAACGCACTCTATAAATTAATAACAAATATGGAAATAGTCCACACACTTACCAAAGCTTATGCAGTCTGATCTTTATTTCTCATCGTTGTTTTTAGTAAAAGAAATTAATAAATCAGCTTAAAACAAGAACAATTTATTTCAACAATTGGTTGAAATGAAAATAAAAATAAAACAGGTAAAGAAATTTATAAATTTTTTAGGTGGTAAAATATAAGAAAACTAGACTTTTACAATTCTCCAAAATGCAATGACATTTAAAATTAAATAATACCTTATTTGATCAGTAATGATCTGCTTACCGTTAATGAAAAACAAAATATACCAAAAAATCTAATCTTTACTTGATCAGGACTTAACTCGAGTTCAGGGAAACTCTAAACCTAATAATTTAATTTAAGTCTTACGCTATTATTTATTGACCATTGAAGATTTCAGGAGAGTAGCTCGGCAATGAAATAAATAAAAAAATCTTTATTGCAAACAAAAAACAAACCCGACACTGTGTTTATCAACTTAAATTTCGGCACTGTGGTTATCAAGATGCAATTACTGTGGTACTCAATAGTAGTTCAACTGATTTACAAAGATATAATCTTGTATTTGCAAAGATCCAACAATTCCCAAGCTTTTCTAAGTAACATAAGTAACTTACAGATGGTGATGCACTGCATTTTGAAAATTTAACACTGACATTACACTGACCATATAAATTAGAACAATCTCGGGAGATTTATAGCATTATATAAGAATAAATTCGCATTTACTGCGTTATCGCATTTAATTGTTAGAAACACTTATTTTATTAAGATTTCTGCACTTAAACAAATGAAACAAAACGCCAAGATCCACACTACTTGCTTCTCACAAATCCACCAAATTCCTCTCTTCCTCTTTGGAAAGGTACTCGTTCGAACCTATGTCAAACTTTTTAACCAAGCGAAACTCATTATTTTAAATAAGAGTTGAACAACTTTCCCCCAAAGTACACAAGAGAATTATTTGTGTATAAGACATAAATCTAGAACAAAAGTTCAGAAAACTAGATGCTATGTGCTACTCTACGTAATATAAACCTGGAACATAATATATATTATGCTTATAACACTAGAGGGAAGGCATAACAGAAGGGTATTGCACATCAGTAGGATGATCAGAGTACGTAATAAAACTGTGATAACTAAAATCGTGAAAAATAAGAATATTGTCGTCTTCGTCTTTTTATGTAAACATTATCCTAGTCTGTTTTTCAATGTGCCTCCAGTAAGTTGTCGTTCGATCGTGTTCGTGGTCTTTCCTACTGATCGTCTTCCTATTAGGGACCCAACCGTCTCTGAAATCTTTACTACTCTATGTGTTGTCATTTGATGTTCTCCACCTTGCATCTATTCATAGTGTCTACCATCAATTTTTCTATCTCTGCTGTTTCTAACATCATTTTTGTCTTTTTGTCGATATGTTTATTTTTCCATATTGTTTCATCATTGTAAATCATCTTTACTTTGAGATAGTAGTAGTATTGCGTCAACTGCATGACAGATAATTTCTAAGTTGTCTTAAGGTGACCCATTTGGTATCCTTTTTTTGTTCTTACTTTTTTTATTATTTATCCTAATCAGGTTGAACAATGAAAAAATTTACTCTTATTGTGTTGTTTTGGTAGATATTTTCGATCGTTTTGATTATTCCTAGAGGTATTTCTCTTGCATACAATAAGTGGTTAACGTCCTTTAATTTGACACGGTTAAATGCCTTCTTAAGGTCCGCGAAACATTGATATGCCGGTTTGTTGTATTCTAATGTTTTCTCTTGGACTTACCTCATTATAAATATAGCGTCGGTGCATGACCTAAAACGTTGTTGTTGTTCTGCTACTGTTATAATTTCATTCATTTATTTGCTATCACTTTGGTTGTTAATTTTAGTGTTGTTTTTAAATAAATTAATTCCTCTGTAATTTTCCGGGTCCATTTTGTATCCCTTTTTGAAGAGAAGTATTAGAGATGCTTGATGTCCATTCTTGAGGAATTCTGTTTTGTTCTATTATTTTTTGGATTAGTTTTAATAGTTGTTTGGTCAGATCTGGTCCTCCCTACTTTAGAAGTTCGTTCGGTATTCTGTCCTCTCTTGGAGATTTGCTATTTTTTAATTTCCTTAATGCTTCTTTTACCTCTTCCTCCTCAATATTAATTTCTTCGTTTGTCTTCATCTCTGGTTTTAGTTCGTTTTTATTAGTTCGTTCATTTTTTTTTTGTCCTCTGATCATTCTCCATATTTCTTTTTGTGTTCCGTAGAAGTCGGGTTCCATCTGTTTTGAAGAAGATCTGTCATCGTTTACCTTTTTATTTGTCTAACTAAGGTATGCGTTTAATTTCTGATTCGTTTATAGTGGTTATATGCCTGTTGTATTTGATGTGTTCTGTATTGTAAAAAGGCTTTCTTGTTTTCTTCACATTTTGTCTTCACTTCCTCTCTAAACAATGGTGTTTTCCATGGTCTTTTTTGATATGTTAGTGCTCGTTACTTTCCTGTCTCCAAGTGATTCTGTTGGGATCTCTAGAGATTCGAAAAAATCCCCATAATATCAATCGAAGGAAGGATACTACATTGTTTCCCATCTGGAATCTCAGTCTAGAGCCGCCGTCCGGTCCCGCTACCCACGATGCAGCCACATGATTGGCCAGCGCGCGCTTGTTGACGTTCGCGCCACGAAGTGTGCCGATACGTCCCGACACGACAGGTCACCGCGACTATAAATAGAGCGGTAGCGGAGTAATCGTCGGTTTCCCCTCATGTTACACCTATGGCACCTTAACCTCAATGATGTTGACTTCCTGGCAGTGGGACATACACCTAGACAATCAACACGACAATTACAATAGTCTCTTATTACAAACATCCTCATCAGGACATGTCCGAGATTTTGTTCGATTATGTCTCCAGCCTCAATAAGGCTATTATTCTCGGCGATTTCAACGCCAGACACGTTCAATTTGGCGACACCGCCACAAATAATGCAGGTAACCGACTTCTCGGATATGCTCATTAATCTCCCTATTCATCGTATCCGTAATCGTGCGCCGACTTTTGTGGTCACCAGGGCATGTCGATAGTCGATCATATTGTATGTACGTATGATGTGATCGATCTGTTAGGTGACGAATGCTTTCTCGTGACTCCATCACGTCGGATCACTTACCTCTACTGGTTAAAGAACAGATATTTACACCCACCCCCTCCCGCACCACCCAAAGTAATAAGAGACTATAGACACGCTGACTGGGACCGATACAGAGCCTTTCTGTCAAATAATATTCCTGAGTTAGGCAACTTAGCACACACAGATGATATCGATTTAGGTATCACGGCCATCTCAAATCTGATAAATCAAGCAATTGATATATCAGTCCCTAATAAGGTTATCAACCCTAATAGGCCTCCTTTACCGCAATACATAATCAATAATATCAAACACAAGAGACGACTCCTACGTCAGTTTCAACGCACTCGAAATCCCCTTATCAAAGCATAATATAACCGCATGTCAGCGGTGATCAAACTACAGGTGAAAGAGATGCAAGTCAGACAATGGCGGGCAGCCACCTCTAGTCTTGATTTCCGTGACGGTGGTAAGTTCTGGCATAAATTCAAGTGCCTAACTAAACAAAAAACCAATAATCCATCTCACATTATTGTGAACAATCAAATCATTAATACACATCAACAAAAGGCCGAAGCCTTTAAAAACCATTTACAAAACACATTAATCACACCTAATAATCCTAGATTTGACCACGCCTTCCTGACTAAGACTGAAAGAGATGTAAACAGACTACTCGGCGCCCCTTTCGATCCTCAGGTGCCGCATGACCATCCCATCATGTCACCTGTGGATCAACAAACTTTCAAAAATTTTTGTCATATCGGCAAATCGAATTCACCGGGTCCTGACAACATTGCCAGGAGCTGCGTGAAACAATTTCCTCCGAGTGTCTACCTCTATTTAACAAATATTGTCAATGCCACTCTCAAACTCTGCTATTTCCCTTCTCAATGGAAAGTAGCAAATACAATTATGCTCCTTAAAAAGGGCAAACCCCGCACAGATCCTAACTCTTATCGGCCGATTTCACTCACAAATGTTTTAGCAAAAGTCTTTGAGAGGATCCTAAAAGAAAGACTCATTGACTTCACCAACGAACACAACATCATTCCCTCTTTTCAATTCGGCTTTAGAGAAGGGTGCTCTACTAATACGGCATTGACTGAGATTGTCACACACATCACTCAAAGTCTGAACGACAGCAAACTCGCATTAGGTATCTTCCTCGATGTTCAAAAAGCCTTCGATCAAGTCTGGCATGTGGGACTGATCAAGAAACTATTGAACATTGGACTACCAATTCCTTTCGTCAGACTAATCCAATCATACGTCTCTGATCGTCTGGTCCGTGTTAAGGAACGTGGTCATTTTCTCCGATTCCTTTACTCCAACAGCCGGAGTACCTCAAGGCTCCGTACTGGCACCCATACTTTACATAATATACAACAGCGACTTCCCCAATACTACTCGAAACAGAACCACCACTCTACTTTACGCAGATGATACTGCTCTGGTTACTACAGCAACGAACGTTGATTCTGTTCTCAGGAATGCTCAAAATCACCTTAGACTAGTCGAAAACTGGTGCAGGCGATGGAGAGTGTCCCTGAATCCGAACAAAACTCAAACGATTCTTTTCAGACACCCTAAACACAGCGTACGCGCGGCCTCCTTTAACGAAAGAAACTATCTCACGCTGT